TTCTGCAGCCTGTATCTCTACAGACTGGGCGTGGCTCCACAGATCCATGACCTCTATGGGAAAGTCAAGTTTACAGGTAAAAAACAAACAAACTGAATGACATCATCAGTGTCTCCCACTGACCTCATTCAATTCCATTTTATTTGTACATTAACAGATCATAATTCACGTTACATGCTGAGTGTCTGGATCCTGCAGCTCCGGAGTCAGATACTCAATATATATGAGAGTGGGAGAGACATCCCCCGTCATTCTAGAGAAAAACAAAGACTGGGCAGAGCTGGCAGCTAAATACGTCACTTCCTGCCACAATAAAAGAAACTTAGACATGTGATATGTTGTATTTAGCTCCATCTCCTGTTTTCTTTCGTTCATTGTAATTTATATTAATACATTATAGTAGTTTCAACATAATTGTAATTGTGCTTTAGCAACACATGTCAATGTCATGCCAATAACGCCTATTGAATTGAGAGATGGACAGACAAAGAGAGAGGGGGGGTGAGAGAGAGAGAGGAATAATGGAACATAATTAAGAGATGGTTAGGGTCTGACGTGATCTAACGAGAACTATAAGCTTTATCAAAGAGGAATGTTTTAAGTCTAAATGTAGAGATGGTCATTCAGAATATTCTGTTAACCAGAGTGCACATGCATGAAGGTGTAGAGCTTCTTAGACTGAGGAGAGAAAGACTCATGTCTAACAATGTTATGGACCAAGTTTCTAAAATGTTTTAGTTCATGAAACTGGCACGAAGAATTAGAAAGAGGCGCTGCAACAGTGGCGATAATGAATGAAACACTGGACATGAAGCGGTTTGTTTACAACTAACACTTTGATCAACGGCTTCATTTCATTTTTTACTTTTATACGTGACGAGAGTTATTGTTGTTGACATTGCTGCCTTCACTGTGAGTCTGATCTACACACAGGTCACATGTTTTTCTCATGTTTCCAGAGGAGGAGATCAACAACATGAAGTTGGAATTGGATAAATATGGGATCCAGATGCCGGCGTTTAACAAGATTGGAGGAATCCTGGCCAATGAGCTGTCTGTGGACGAGGCTGCAGGTAAAGAGAACCCCTCTGATTGGCTGTGAGCCTCTCCTCTCATTATCACACTGGAACCTCCCCTTCTCTTTTCTCCCATCAGTCCATGCAGCAGTGATCGCCATCAACGAAGCAGTGGACCGAGGAGAAGTGGGTGTGACCACAAGGGCTCTAAGGAATCCTAACGCCATGCTGCGTAACCTACAGGAGGCGCTAATGAGTGTCTATCAGGAGATGCTGCTTCAGGCTAGAAGAAGAAAAGCTGAACGAGCAAGCAGTTGGGTGAGGGTCAATCAGTCTGTCCAGTCAGCAGAGTGCGTGTTCTATCAGTGACATCACATGGTGTGTGTGTATGTGTGTGTGTGTAGTGTGCAGGTTCAGAAGATAAAGACATGTATGAAGAGTTTCTGACTCAGAGAGAAATTCAGAATAACATCAACGTCGTTAACGGTGAGAAACGATCAGTATCAACCAGTGTGAGTACTGATGATTGATCAATGTGACCAGAGGTGATTATTGATTTGTTTCTTTTCAGTGCGTTCAGCTGTGGAGCAGGTGGATGAAGCTCTGGACTCTGCAGATGAGCTGTCTCTGCTGTCTGCTCTGCAGCTGCCATGTTTGGCCCTCAGAGGCCTCCGTACTGACAACGGCCCCTGGTACCTGGACCAGCTGTCAGTAGACCGCCAGCAGAGGGCGCTGGTATGTAAACACTGAAATAAATTCAGACATATATATGAATACACGTGACATGACTCCCCCCTCTGTGACCTCTGACACCAGGAGGGCTGCCTTGATCCTCTGGACCCTGATGACCTGCAGGACAGCATCACCCTCGCCAATGAAGAGGCCCAGAGAGCCAGAAACAGTGAGTGTCCCACCACAGTGACACCTGCTGGACAGTTACTGTCATTGCACCAACACGAGCCAAGGTGTCCTGATGTTTCAGAAGGGAGGCACCGCCTTGAACCACCAGGAGGCCTGACGTCCAATCAGACTGACTGACACCCCATCTGTGTTTCATGAGTTAATTGTGTGTCTGTGTGTTTCAGTGCAAGCAGCCGTGCAGAGTGTCAATGCTGCGTTACGTCGCAGTGACCCCAGACACACACTCAGCTGTCTGATGACCTCTGACCTCCAGCTGCCTCAGGTGTTTCCTTTTGCTGCTGCTTTGTATCACAGAGAACTTCAGCTGCTGCAGAGACAGAGTGGACAGGTGAGACACACACACACACACACACACACACACACACACACACACACANACACACACACACACACACACACACACACACACACACACACACACACACACACACACACACACACACACACACACACACACGAGACGTCCATACAGGTGGCTACTGCTGGTGTAACTGATGGACCAGCACTCATGGTTCACATGCTCTCCACCAGGGGGAGCTGCAGCAGGAGGAGCTCTTCGTTGCTGTGGAGATGCTGTCAGCTGTCGCTCTCATCAATCAGTCTTTGGAGGCGGGAAACCTGCAGCAGTTCAGCTCCTCATTGGTCAGTTCATCTGCAGGACTCTCTGATGTAGATGACACCCTGCTGGACAGGTATCTGTCTGTCTGTCTGTCTGTCTGTCTGTCTGTCTGTCTGTCTGTCCTTATAGAGGCAGGACATCATCAGAAGGGTTTGTCCTGTAAGCCTCTATTTTAATGTCTTACTGTTTCACCACAGTGTGAAGGGCGGGGGGGTCTTTCTGACTTATTTATTAAATAACAAATAAAACCAAGTGTAAAAGTAACAATTCTAATAATGGGAAGATGAGATGGCTGAAGCTCGACACTGGTAGGTGTGTGTGTGTGTTCGTGTGTGTTCCGTGTTCAGGTACATGTCTGGTGTGTTCCTGTACATGTATGTGGTGTGTTCAAATCAAATATACTTTGTTTATACTTCATTCCCATGGGGACATTTTTCTTGGGCCACAGCAACTACAGAACAGAACATTGTCTAACAAACAACAAAACACTGAACACAAGGACGCACCATGTTTATGTTGTGTCTGTGGCGTGTTCAGGTACTTTGAACACATGGCAGGTGTGAAGCAGCAAGGGGGCGGAGCTCAACTCACTTGGAATCAGCTGCAGGAGGAAATCAACAGCGTCAACAGCTCGGTGCAGGACGCACAACAGAGTATGCATACACACACACACACACACACACACACACACACACAACTATACAACAACAATACACGTCACACCAAACCTGACTTGTGACCTTTGACCTGTGACCTCAGATCTCGTAGTTGTGGGTGTGATTAACAAGGCTGTGATCAGAGGAGACAGTCAGCAGCTGCTCTCTGCTCTGCTGCTGCCCTCTTGTGGCCTGGAGGACGTTCTACCTGACAACGCCCGTCGATACCTGACGCTGCTGAGCAGAGCACGTCAGCACAAAGCTCAGGTAACCTCTGACCTCTGACCTCTACTCCACAACCAATCCCTGTCAGCCTGAAGTCATGTGACCTCCTCTCAAATCAGGTGAGCAGAGACCCAGGAGCTGAGCTGTGTTTGGCTGATATCCAGGAGGAAGTGAGGAGAGCCAATCAACAGAGTCAGAGAGCTTTGAAGTGTGAGTCATGATTATTGTAATGATGTTGTGTTCACCAACAGAAAATACACAATTGAAAGAGGGAGATTTAGTTTAACAAATAGCACGTACATAGTTAAACAAGAGAAAACACAACAGAGAAGAAAACGGAGATAACAGAAACAACCATATTGGTGCGAGTTATTCACCAAGATTAGTTATCACCTCTTTGTGCGAGTGTCGATTATTGATTGTGTGTATAGTGTGTCTGTCAGTCACAGCAGTTTATTGATTTTGTGTGTGTGTGTAGTGTGTTTGTCAGTCGCAGCAGTAAACCAGGCAGTGAAGGAGAACAGAGACTCTCAGACTCTTCGTGTTTTGTCTTTACCTGATCTTCAACTTCAGGGAATCATCAGAGAATGTGCAGCGGAATATCAGAGACAACTACACAACCTGATCACACACAAGATGGACACAGGTAACACCATGTGACCCCTGACCTGTCTCTGACTCCTGACCTGGACATGACGGCAGTCTGAAACAAACCCAGATTAAGTTCCTGATCAAACTGATTGATTCTTCAACAGTAAAGATATTGATCAGTATCAGGAGTGACTGGTTCTGATCTGTGACTCCGTGTGACACAATCTGCTTGTGTGTCCAGGAGACAACAGAAGTTCCTGGATTCGAGTCCGTACGGACGACGGCTCATTGTTTTACTTTCACCTGAACCGACTTGAGGGAACCTGGGAGCAACCGGACAGCTTCACGCACAACAGTGTGTTCATGGACAGACACGACATACAGGTGAGAAACACCTGAGGGACGCACACATGACATTACTGTTCTTCTCTGTGATTGGTCGACAGTAGTATTGTCATGTCTCCACCTGCAGGACGTTATCAGCAGTGTGTCGGGTTTGTACAGTCGCAGCGCCCTCTGGAGGAGCAGAGAAGCCCTCGTTGTTCATCTGCAGGCTGCATGTCGAGGGTTCCTGATCAGACAACAGCTGGAGGCTCGACAACGTTTCCTGATCAACCACACCCCTGCTGTCGTCATCATCCAGGTGAGACATCACTGATCTGATTAATCCATTAACATCAGGAGAACAGATAACACGTCTCGTGTGTTTGTGTGTGTTCAGTCTCATTGGAGGAGGTTTGTCCAGCAGAGGGCGTACAGACGGCGGCTGCAGTTTCTCTACATGAACTGGAGAGCCGTCGTCAAGGTAACAAACACAACATGTTAGTTTGTGAGATGTCACTGTCTTTTCATCAACATGTGTGAAGCGTGTTGTCGTCGTAGAACATATGTGGGATTTCTGCAACTTGACATGTTGTCATGGTGATATGTTTCATATGTTCACAGATTCAGTCATTCCTGAAGATGTGGCTGATGAAAAGAAAATATCGAGCACGACTGAGTTTCTTCAAACGTAACGTGAGTCCTGTCTGTCTGTCTGTTTAACTGTCAGTCTGTCTGTCTGTCTGTTTACCTGTCTGTCTGTCTGT